AAAAACAAAAAAAATCTTCAGCTTCAGTGGTTTTTGTCATAAATATTGAGCCTATAAGATTTTAATGCCTCGCCACCTTTCGACGATCGAACCGTAACTTTAAATAAACATTATTCTAATTTCTCTGAATTTTGAACCACAGTTATCAGACATTAGTACTCGCTCCCAGAAGGGGGTGTGACCAGCTCTTCGAACCAAATAACGGGACTGACTGTCACTTTTAAAACACGTCCCAAGCTGAGCGTGTTCATGAGCACCGCGTCTCGAACTTCGGACCCTTCGATTCACGGCACAGCAATCTTACTACTAAGATACCCTGGATTTATTTCCCCCCGCCTTCCCATTTTCATTAAAGATACGTTGAAATGTAACAATAATCACTCCCGCTATCTTTTTAATGTTGCATTCTTTCTTTTCTGAGACAACTTATACAACATATAAGCTAAGTTCAAAGCTTATTAAATATATTTTTAACTCAAGTTTACGCGAAGTGTTATTAAAGTTATATAACCATAAGTTTAAGGTTCTGCAATACTTTTTGGTAACAAAAATATGTAGAAGCTCGTTATTTTTTTGCTGATCAGAATATTCTTTTACATTTTTATTTTATTGCTATCGTTCTTCAATAACACACATTCGTTATAGTGTGAGCGCCTTTTATACTTATCATAAGACATTAGTATTAAGCCTATTATATTTCTAAACTCTAAATTCTTGATTTAGTCCCTTAAAGATTTTCAAGAATTAGAAAAGTGTATAGTAATAGTATTTCAACCACATCCATTAACAACAACGCGTTTCGCTCAGTCCAAATATCTTCAGGCCGGCTGGGATACAAATATACTAGTGGTCGGAACCTATTTATACAAGTCATTTGTTACAAATAGTTGTTATGGTGTGTTAGTATCGTTTTCGGATATTTACAACACAGTTTTATCTTTATTAGACTAAAAAACTGTGTCCGACATCGCATTTATATTGCTGCTACACGACAACTTAACCATTACACTAAAAACTAAATACAGTCGACTTGTATAAATTTCCAGTTAAGAGTAAAAGCTTATAGTTTTAATAAAGTAAATGTCTCAAAATTGCATATTTTAAGATGTATTTGTGTTTACACTATAACACTAAAATTTAAAATCTAAGTCATAAGGTTAGGCGATACATCTAATCAAAGGCAGACTGACTTATTTCATAATGGGCTGATTGTTTGTTTCATTTTTCTTAGCTTAAATGCCCAAGTATCACTTACAAAACATTTTTCACCACTAAATTTAGTTTTAGAATATTGCGTATGATGATGAATCGTATCCATCTCCAACATTTAAAAATATGTTTAAAGTTTTTGACAATCGTATGAAATTGTGTCACAGTTTCATTCCACTTTGTTTTTAAAATACAATTAGTATTCAGAAACTTAAAAACATGTAAATATTTATATATTATTAATTTTCTAGAGATTAAATTAAATTGTACTGAGATTGAAGATGAAGCATAACCAGGTTCGTTTGTTTTTCTTCACGTGGGAACCGAATCCATGTTGTTCAAAAGGGAGATTTTGAGTTTTGCAAGACACAATTTAAACGTTAGACTATTATATGAAATATAGTTGGAGTGAGGTAATGTAATTGAACATGTCAATTAAATATCGTTCTACACTTCAATAGCTTAAAAAAAAAACCAAACAGGACCATTCTTTTACATTTACGTATTCATTATCGTGCTTTCACGATGAGATACTACACATATATAATACATAAATACATGTTGCACTCACGTTATCCCACAACTGCTAAAAACACAAAATGCTCTGAACATCGCATTAATATGAATTCACCCATGAAAATGTTACATTTCACATGTCGTATACAAATAAGTGTTCGCATTCCACTTTCATTGTCCCAGGCATCAGAAATGTCATAGATTAATTCCACAGCATCCAGAAAAATTTCAGGCATGAAAGCTGGTCTTTCTCGTGACCCCCCTGTTCCTTGTGCCATTTGTGTCCCAGGAACCATTTTATTTACGTTATGTGTACACAGCAACCACCATTCTTGCATCTACGCAGCACAGGCAGTACCAAACTAGAATAAGTGGGTTATTGCCATGTTGAATCCAGAAAAAAATACAACTTCTTTCAAACACCGCCTGTTGTATTTTTACACAGAAAATATCTTCCTTTTTACTAATGACTCATGCATTACACATTCCATCCTAAGATAGCTGTCCTCTTGTATACGATACTACCTGTTTTAGTTGGTGTAACGCAATGTCCTGACCGCAGAAATTCTTCAGATAAACGTGAAAAGCCCAAAACTGCACCAACTGCTTTAGTCATTTTTCACATTGGCTTCTTTCACACTAAACCTCTGGGACTCTCCAGTCTGATGTAGCTTGTTGGGTTACTTCACTAGTTTGAGAATGCGTTGTGCAACAGCAGAATCAACTTCTGCATTTTAAATGAGAGCAGTCCTATAGAAAGAATAAATAGTAAAAATTGTCAATAAATCTGTAGTTTCCATTATTCTATGCGACCATCTATTGCTTCTACGACCTAACGTGTTTTTGTGACAAGCTTTGGAAGACTGGATTCCTCCTATAAGATGCTAGTTACATTCGTTTTGTAGAAAGAATGACATTCGTGTCTTCACACCCGGTTCTTTAAGGGGATACAATACCATTCACCTCTAAATCATCCATCAACAATAACCGCGTTATGCCCAATTAACATAATTTTAGAATAAGTGACAAGTGATTGGTTGATCATTATTTCGCTAATAAGCAAGAGGATACAGCTATCATTGATGTAACAAGTGACCGCCGCTTATGAGTCCAGTGTCAAGTTAAGTGAGGGGACACAACAAAAACGTTCGTACAGATTTCACACGGGTATTCCTCAAAAATGGAAATCTGGAATACGGGTCATGAAACTGAGACTTGATCAAACCAGTTAAACTAACCTCATCAGTTAGGTATGATCCTATCAAAATCTATTCCACCAGATCTTGCAATTGCGCAAGTGTTCTCCAAAAGAGAATGTTTGCACCTACCAACTGGAACAATCCAGGTATAAGTGCTCTCTGTCAAGGTGAATTTCGATGCACTAGGATACCACAACATGCAAATATTTGGGTTCATATGGTGTAACAGTCGGATGAGTACATTTTGGGTACATAAATCATTTTGTCTGACCATTGCCCCTAGACCTGATATTTAGTCTTACACAGTTAGAGCTTGTACAGTGTGGTTTGTTCAAGGATGCACCAGGAGTGGAATGTGTAGGAGTAACGTAGCTTTGATCCCTTCGATCAGTTTCACTGTCATTTGAAAGAGATTTGTTAGGAGCACGACGTATTGAATAACAGTGCTGTGGACGCATTTGGAAAAAATGACATCTCTTTGAAGACATCCAAATTCACCATTACGTGATCCTATTATGCGCCTCCTCCCTCTAGGTCCACAATTCACATGAACATGTATTTCTTTGACATGAATGAATAATGTCCGATAACGTTGCTTCAGTGATAGCCTTGTAAACCACTTAGTAAACAATATGGCAAAACATTATTGGTTTCATAACTATAGCAACATCACGATTTCATTAAATAATGCAATTTCTGATATGTAATCATGCGATTGACTCTACTGAGCAAGGTGCGATTTTATTGGCTGATAGTAGTGTATACATAAAAGCAGTGCTGATTTATTCAGTTGTTAACTCTTGCATGTCGCACATTTGCATTACAAAAGACTTAAACCGCTTGAAACATGACAAAAGAAGTTGGACCCACATAATAAAAATAAGGACACGTAACAACAGATTAATTATTTTCCATTACAAAGTGAAAAACTTCCATAGTAAATATTTCTTGGCCGTCTTGCAATAAAAATTACAATCTTATAGAACCTTGTTCTTTTAACAAGGGCGTTTTAAAATCTAAATTGGACGACATATCGTATTTCTTTATCATCAGTCGGATGTGGCGAATTTTTCTTTGCATTAAACAATCTTAACATGTTAATATATATAATTATAAAATTACAATGTTAAATATTTTACCGATATCTTATTTCACAACTAAAGCACTGTTAAGGAGAGAGTATACCTATCAGACGATTTAATCTGAGATTCAGAATTACACAAGGGCTATTTACGCATAACCATGACAAAAGAGAAGGCAGCTAGTCAACACTATCCATCACCGACACACGGGCTACTCTGGTCTAATTGAATGGCAGAATTTGACTGCCACTCTTACAGAACACACACGGCCCCAAAGTGTGAAGCGCGTTCTTCAGTAACGGGTCACGAGCCATGAATCTTCAGAATCACAGTTCAAGAAATTTAACTACTGGGTTATACCCGGCATTAATATGTTGCGACTGATTTAGATTGTAAATTGTTTTGATATTGACTTCAAAGTTAACAACTATCTTAAACTAAACGCTAGTAACTGTTTTATATCCAATGCATACAATTTTATGTCTACTACTATCAATATACATATTTCGTTTAAATATTTTATTCATATATTACTTTAAGATACAAAACCCTCAACACATTAACTTTATGATGAACTTAAACTTGTATACTTTAATGGTGTCCTACAATTTCTACTAATACCTCGCTTTTTCACTGACATAAATAACTCTTTCCCCGTCCCCTTTCTAGAGCATTGCCATCTAAGTGTGGAATTTTATACAACCATGAAAAGGTATTCCCGTTCAAACTTACTTACCAAAGTTTACCAGCTTCAAGTTTTAGTTAAGTAATGAAATAACAGAACGTTTCTTTTCGTTTATCTGTGTACCTAAGATTAAACAAGAAGTCAGAACCAGAAGAGTTGTTTATCTATAAACGTGGCACTGAAAGAGTTAAGGTTTTTTATTATTTATGAAAAGCTATTTACTTTGTAATCTGGTGTATATAAATCTTTCGATGGTGATTGGTTGAAACTGAATTAAGGTGTTTTAATACGAGAACCACAACCGACTTCGTAATAGAAAACAAAATGTTTATTTATTTTTTTATAATTTGTACTCAACATTTCTTTTAACCTCATGAATAAGATTTCTTTTTAAAACGAATCTAAAAACAACTACAGATAATCTTCTACTCTGCAGTTTTCACAAAATTAGTGTAGGATATTATTTTTTTATTTTCAGTTTACCCTAAACAAAACAATACTCTCCACAAAAATTTAAACCACCACTGAAAATTTCTTATTATGGAAAAACGAACTTATGAGTACATCTATTAAAATTCTTTGAAAGAAGAGCCTTACTTTAGGGAATTAATCATACATAAAGAATCTGGCTAAAGAAAGTAAATTATATTTTGATATCACCTTGTACTTCATGAAGAACAAGTAATTATTTTATCAATACATGACAAGAAAACATCTTTTTTACTGTTTACTATAAACGTTCATTGCAAAAAAATCAAGTACTTAAATCTACAAATACACGTTTTTATTACAAGATAACACCTAGTTTAGAAAGAATGATTAAAAAAAATCTGTTTAAACCACTCAAGAATAAATTTGTAGTATTTCGTTTCATCAGCTAATTTGTGACAGAAGTAACTAACCTTCCTGAGATGAATTTTAAGTCACGTTTCTAGCTTTGGTGCTCAGTGTTCCAATGCTTGAATTTTGGACACTAACCTCATAAATATATATTATGTATTTAACGACAATGTATAATGTGAAGTTTAGATCTATCCACATATTAAGGGGGATATTTTCTGCAGCAAAGGATTACAAGTGACTAAAGTAGAAGCAGCAAACATAACGCTTTTTCATCTAAGATCTCACTTGTATCAATCTCCTGAATTACTAACAACCTTTTAAAGTATACACAGTAGAAAAACCTTGTAAAATAAACATAACAGTTTACATCAGACAGCAAGATAAAAGCACTATGGAGTTCATGTAAAAACAAAATCACCAGCTGATCAAGAGAAACCAACTATTAGTTGAATGTTACAAAAGCCTGATCAGGAGATACTAACTATTATTAAATGTTACAAAAGCTTAATTAGGAAATATCAATTAAGTTTAAACTGTAAAAAAAGAGTACATTAGAACTGAAAGTCAACTTCAGATTGTAAAGTGCATTACAGATTAACTCCAAAATGTAGAAATACATTATAACTTAATCCCAAGCAGTAGAGAAGAACACTATAAATAGCATGTGAGGGATGCTACAGTGTAAATTTTAAGCTGTTATGACCTAAAACTAGATCTGTACATAAACGCAATATTGTCTTGTAGAGCATTACACAGTACATTATTATTCCTTTAAACACAACGTCATTTTATATCTGTAAGAAGACATATTCTTGGATATTATATATATATATTGTTCTTTAAAACCAAGCCTTTCTTTCAACATTTCTACGCCTTACCATAATGTTATTAAGGGAATTTTTTAAATAATTTTCCCCAAAGTAGCACCCATAAAATTATCACAGCTTTACCTGTTTTTTTACCAGAAGAATTCATAAAGCCTATTATTATGAATTCATTAGCAGCTTTGTAGCTGTTGAAAAACTCCTGTACGCTTTTATGTATTTTATCTTTTTCCCTTACCAATTACACAAAAGTTATGATGTTCAATAATTTTCTAACAAACACTTAAAGAACAAACTAGTGACTACATCTTATGCATGTACTCTACTTTCTTATTTAATCAATCTTTATACATTAAAAAATGGTAAATTACATTAATAAAGGAAATATAGCACATATGAAACATTTCCTTATTTCCTATCACATGCTATACTGGCAGGAATTTAATGCTAGATACATATTTTATAATTGTTATATTAAGACAAAACTTATATGATATATTTTGGTTTAAACTTCAACATTTTCATACGATATTCTTAAACCAGAAGTAGTGTCTTCGAAAACAGCCCATAAATTTATATTATCAACCTCCAGCAGACTAGCATAATTACTCCGTATATTTAATATAAGAAATCTACTTAGAAATTTATCAACGATTCAATTATTTCACTTAAGGAAGCTTAAGTTTTACACAAAACTCATAACATCTATAGTATACAACTTTTTCATTTGCTTATGAGATGTTAATGTATAAAAAGTCCTTGCGGAGTCATGGATTCAAAATGAATGAGTATCATTTAGTCTAGCAGTTGCAATAGCAGAAAACTTTCAAAAGTGTATGACAAATTATTAAAAGAACAGCAACAGCAGTTTTATTTTTAAAAAAAGGAAGAATTTGGAAGCTTTGGTTATCAAAATATATTCATGCTTCAAGTGTCTATTCATTCTTTGCTATATCTGGATTTAATCTTGGTACCAATTTCATCTTCTTCATAACAAAGTAAGTCACATGCCACCCTATGTAAATAATGTGGCAGACAAAGTATAGTGAGGAATAAACCTGAAAAAACAAAACATACAGTCTTTATTAATTCTTTTTTTACTTCATTACACACATAATTAATTTTCAGATAAACTCTTGGTACTTTTTTCAAAATATATTTCCTTGCCTTGGATTTGAACTTCTTGTACACCAAGGGAGTGCTCAACTAACCGAACTAAAGAGTTAGTCTCCAAATGCTTGCTACTAAGGCAGTTTTTAACAACTCAAATGTCTAAACAAGGGCCATCCTCATGTCTAATTTCAGGGGAAGTTATTTAGCATCAGTGTGGTAATTCTTTCGTGACATTTCTTTGCTTGGATTTGAACCCCCATACTAGGTGAGTGCTCTACCAAATGGGCTAAAGGGCTAGCCCCCTAGCATTTGCTAGTAAGGCATATTTTAACGACTCAATCTACTACATACTCATATAAATGGCTGCTCCAGTCTCTCTCTCCTTTATGAATTAAAACTGTAAGAAAACCTTTAAATTCCAAGCATACCTTTGGTATTCAGAAGCATATATAAAAAATACATTAGTTTTATATAAAAGGGACACCACAGGAATTGTAGCAGGTAATAATTTTAAATATACACAGTACAAAGTGTAAAATGTCAGGGAAAAGCAAAAAGTTGAAATGAACCAAAAACTATTTTGAGCATATATCAGAAGCAACTATTTTGAGATTAAGGTTTTTTTTCCTATTTGTTTGTTTTTGAATATTCATACTCAGCTATTCAAGGGCTATGTGCACTATCCATCCATAATTTAGAACTGACAGACTAGTGGGAAGACAGTTAGTTAACAGCACCACAGTCAACTCTTGAGTTACTCTTATCTGACCAAACAGTGAGATTAGTTTGAAACTTTTCTTTTGTGTGGTAATGGGATCAAACAAAGAGGCAGATCCATAGTTTGGCTTGTCTATCACTATGCAATGTTGCCCTTAGTATTTTCTTGGGTAATATAGGGATCAAAAAACAACAAGGCATTGCAATTGTATTAGTGAAAACCCAATTTTATTTTACTTATAATCCTTCAATTCCTTTAAAACATAACTATCAGAAGTTAATATTTGAAAGAACTGAATCATCTTGTATATTATCAGAATAATTTTTTCAGAAATCCAGTGTTATTCAATAAATTACTACTATTTCTTGATATCAATAATAAATTTAAGTATTCAATTTTATATTTTACTTTCAAGAATAAAAATAATTTCTTTCAGACTAGAAAATACTGAAATCTATGATAACCACAATATTTTGTATAAAAATAATAAAAACGTTGCAGTACCAAAGATATAATTCTTGCTTTTAATGTCAACAGATTATTTTGGAAAATCCTTTATGAGCCCCAAAAGTTATAAACTGAAAGCCTCTACAGCTAGGACCACGTAGATAAGGGTGTAAAAACGATACTTTCCATTGAGGTATTGTATATAAAGTGGCAGTTTAAAAATCAAATATTTTTTGTTTGGTAATCATCTCTGAACAAAAATTAAAATATTATTCAAATATCAAGATATGATTTAAAAGCAAATTATGAAATATATGGCAATAATATAATTTTACAATAAAAACAGCTCAATTCCCTTAATTAACTTTTAACACCAACAGTCACAAATTATCATGTTCTCTCTCATTATGAAGTTCCAAGCATATAAGTACCTACCTTTAACCACCTTGATGCTGATAAAAGAACAAATGGCATCACACAGTAGCTCATGCCAAAAAGCAAATAAAATTTCTTCAGAATATAAATTGGTAGCTGTAAGGAACTTAAGTTCAGGAATGCCTTGACAGCTGGCAACCTATCCGTTAAGGATGTTACCTGAAGAACACAAATAACTGTGTTGAGTTATTATAAAAAATAAAAAAAGTTGGTAGGTCAAAGTGCACGTCATGACTTTTTACAGAGTTACAATCAAAATTTAATTAAACTACATCATCATCAATACATATCAATAAAGTTGACAATAAAATGTAGTTAGAACATATCTTAATATTATATAAGTTTTAAATTTTTTATTTCAAAAGAAAATATTCAACTAAATTCTCACTCTCTACTTGGTCTGAATTGCCCATTTTTGATTTTGATGTTCTGGGTTTAACATAAATTAAATATTTATAATATAGAATTAAATTAAGGCATAATTTAATTTTATAGCCACCAGTCTTATTGGTTTATGGAGATGTAAAGCAGAAAGTCAAACCCACTTGCCACACCCTCCTATCACATCCTGCCTTCCACAAAATATCAACAAATCTTGCTGACATTTGAGTTTGGATTATTTATAACAAACAAGAAGAGAAGGATTTGATTTACTGATTTCTGTATAAGGCTAAATCATTCTGATGATGGTGTTGATGTTATTAGCTATACTTTTGTGCACCAGCAATACCAAGCATGAGGTGCTCGTATTCCTGATTCAATTTTATTACTCATCAGGATCTCTATCAGCCTACCCTCAAATTGAAATTCTTTTAAGCAGGATTACCATAAATTAATCTATGAAACCCTGGGCATGGTCAAACACATCAATCAAAAGGGTTTGATCTCCTGAGTCCAAAACTGTAATTAGATCTCAAATTGGTCAAAAGAGGACGAAGCTATGAGCTAAAAGTTTGTACTTAAAAAACTTTGAGCCATTCTATCAGCTGCTATGAGCAGCTAAAAATGTTTGAGCAATATTACTAAACTATAGGGAGAAAAAATTGTTGGTAAATATAAACAAGAAATTAATATACATAAACAACATTTATAAAAACAGCTTATACAAATTAATAACTTTTGACATAGCACAGTGAGCATATATTTATGAAAATAAAAAACCTCAAGACACAACACAAATTTTACTATATAACAATATATATATATAAAATAAATTTAGATCCCTTGTTACTATTATATTTTCATAAATAATGGAATTAATATAAAATCAAATATGAAGATATATTATTAAGAAATCAAAAATTGAATGATAAATTGTAGGAGAAAATATAGTATCATGTTATAAGTGTTATACAAGTTTTTCAAAACTAGGCCAGAGTTCTATCAATGTTAGTAGCTTAGTGATCAAACTTTCTAGAAAAACATAAAAAAGCAGCTTAATGTGTTAATGCACTTACATCTCTCTCCACCTTCATGACTAAAAACTCGTTAAAGAAACACACATAGTATCCAGAATGGAGCCCATGCCACATTGCTAGAAACAGTAAGGTAACTGCTTGTGACAGTAGTTTGTTTCCTAAGAACCTCAGCCGTTTGAAAATGTATCTGTAAAAAAATAAAAAATAAATCCAATAAAAAAACAAAACAAGAAACTTCTAAAATGTATTTTAGGAAATATGCCATGCATTGAAAATCCCTACTAAGACAAATTTCATACTGAAAAATAAGATAGGTATTGAGTGAACACTACTGTGGACAAAATTGTTTACTACCATCAAATGCAAAAAAGACAAAGAAATTGTGAAAATAAAAAGGATTTCTTTAAAAAATAAATACAGCTATAGAGTCTCATCAACATATTTTTTAATCTTTTACTCAAAGCACTTTTACCATAAAACTTTGGTAACACAGTACAAGGTTAGCACAAACCAACATAAATTCCTACTGAAACAAATTTTATACTGAAAACAAAATTTTGATGCAGGAATTTTTGCATAACTCTGTATAACTTATGGAACAAATCTTATGTCATTACACTGTTTTACCAGATGGATACATATGGTTTGGTGCTGCTATGGCCAACTTAATTGCTTGAAAGAACACAACGGTGCAGAACTAACTTTCATAGCTATCCTTCCTATTATTATTTAGCAGTAAATATAATACATCAAATTCTCACTTGAAATACAACCATCCATGTTCTTCAATTTAATGACAAGTTAAAAATATTATGGCTAAAAGTACCACTTGTATAATTACACCAAAATATAATTTAGTCTAACTCAAGCATTGCTTGCCTTTTTGTGGTGATAATTATGTTACTTTTGCATCAAAAATCACCCACTAGTTAGAAAAAACACTATTTAAAAAGAAGAATTTAGTTTTAGTCTTTTAATAAAGGCACCTGTTTTAAGTTAAGTTTTCTGGTTTTAAGATGTTTATTTTCAATTAAACAGTGTCGACCTTTTTTAAGGAATATTTCCATGTATGAATAATATACACACTTTAGTATTATTATAAAAACATGCAATAATATGCTGTGTAATATGAGTGCACTTAAATATACTCATACTACATGAAGTGAACTACAATGTAGGTTTTATATGGTACGAGGATAATAAACCTTGACAAATTTTACTCCATTCTATTCTTCCATTGTTGTTTAATATTAACTTTATCTAGATTTGTGTATTTAAGAAGCCTTTTCATGATTTTCAAATGTACATTTAGTTCTTTACACATCTGTATATACACTTATAAGTAGTGACATAGAAAGCCTTTAATGTTCCTTTGTATGTTTGGAGTTTTTTTTCTTGATAAATGATAAACATTTATTCACAAAAATTAACATTCTTTGGCAAGTTATAATGGGTTATACATTTCTTTAATTCTTTCAGCATGAGCTTATCCCTGGAACCAACCTTGTAACCATTTTGTGCTTGTTATAGTTTTCATGCTACAACCTTTAAATTAGTAAGTGTATGTTAACAAAATTTGGCAGTTTATCAGTAAACATTACAATGCTTTCATACACAAAATATAATTCTTTTATATTAAGTCTTAAAGTTTGTAAAGCAATGTTTTTGTTTTTTTTTATTAAGTCTTAAGGCTTGTAAAGCAATGTTTTTCTCATGCGTTATTTTTCTTTTCGCATGTTGCCTATCCAACATGCAAAGTAATTTTCATTTTAAGATTAAAAATACTTTTAAGCATCAGTAAGTTTTCAAATTTCACATGCAGAATCTTTATAATGTTCAGATAGTTATCAAATGTTTCTTCAGAATAAACTTTATATTTTATCTGTTATTTTCAGAAATGAATCTCAGTACGGGTTGGTACATTTGACCGATCTTATAACCACCATAAAAAATTAGGAAATAAATATAAATTATGCCTCTTTGAATGACAACAAAGTATGACATGAAATCATAAATGTTTAGACTAAATAGCTTAAATCTCATAACATTATACATTTATATATATTTATTATATTGACCATTCAGCCATGCCTGGCTAACAATACAGTAGTTACAATAACTCAGCACACGTGCACTCATATAACTGACCTTTAGTCTTTAGAAAATGACCTGTCTTGGCTGTGTTTTAGTAGACTGGTATTTTGTAAAATACAGTCACATTTCAATTATTATACATTATTTTTGTATATAGGTTATTGTTATTTAGAAACAAGTTCTTAAACTTTTCTTAAAACATAGAACAGTAAATAAAGAAGTAAAGCAAACAAAAATCTCTTCTACTTACAACCTTTGTACTCAGTTGCTGCTAGATATAGGTTGCTAAACCTTTTAAAGTTTTGCACATGTAGGATATGGAACGAAATATTTTTTCTTAGGTTTTATATATACAGTTGAATAACCAAGGAAATTATAAATTACTATATCAATACCATAGAATTATACTATAATTTATCAAGCTTAGTAACCAAGTTGTATTTAGGTCTAAACAAATATGAAATTTTGAGCAGACTAAAGACACAATCTATCTCCTTGAAACTTTGGGTTGAAAGAACAAGATGGCATCCTAACAATTTAAAAAAGTTGATAAAGCCACTAGGGTGACATTCAGAGCTTTTGATTGTTTATACATTTAATATACAGAAAAGGGAGCATTTCCAAAAATGAAAAGAGGTGGGAAGGGTGCCACTGTGTTTGATTTAGTATATAAGCAATATCTTAGTAAATAGAAAAGGTTCGAGGTTCTTATCTTATATTCTAGTTTATCAATATTTGTAATACGAGTTCCTAATTTGTACGAAACTACAGACTTAGTATTTTGAGATCACAAACACCATATTTGAACCAGTGCTGCATTCAACATACCATGTGACACATAAAATTGATATTTAGTTGTGTATTTTAATATTTATTTTTAAATTAAGAAATTTAATACTTTATAAGACTAAAATCTGAATTAAATCGACAGTTTGATACCAAACGTATTAATATAAATTCATGAAATAGTAGTTCAATAAAATTTAGAATGCAAGTCAACAGATGAGATGACATGACCTTTGACCCCTAACCCATCTGGAAAGGGTTAAAACTTCAAAATTTACTTTCAACTATTTAGGAGTCAAGGAAAACACTTACAAAACAGAAGCAGAATTCAAAAATGTACAGGATTAGCAAAATAATTTCAGAAGTTAAAATTTAATAACTGAAGTATAAAAAATGAAAAAATTACAAACTAATGGGCTTGATTTTCTTTTATAAACTTGTGAAATTCACATTTATTTAAAAAATCATAGGACATAATGAAAGAGACAACTGCAGTTTTTGAAAATTCTGCAAAGTTTTTGATTATTAGTTTAATACTGCTTCCTTAAGAGTTAGTTAGGTAAGTTAATAATCAATGCTTATAACATGACAACTTTTACATTTGTGCCTATTTGTTTGGTGTGAGAAAGGGTTACTCTAATTGTTTCTTCTAACATGTCGTATGTGCTTGACTCCAGCAAATAAAGATAGAAGTAGAATTTTGAATGTTGTTGAACATCTTATAATAATAATAATACTGTAATTCTAATAATACTACTAATAATAAAATACTTTTCTTCAGTTATTTCTTCTAGCTTGGCTTCTGCATCCGATATCTCTAGTTTAGATATCTGGGCTCTTTTGATAACTTAATGTTTTTGTTATAGATTAATTATACTACAGCAAACTTGACAGTATTTTCAATTAACCCTATCGCTACAGGTTTTCTTATGGTCAGGGGTCAAAGAGCATGTCATCATGTTTGTAGACATGCATTCAACATTTTATTGAACTACTATTTTATGAATGTATGTCAATAAGGTTGGTATCAATATGTAGATCATAATTCAAATTTTAGTATTATACAGTAGTGAATTTCTTAACTAAAGTAAATATTAAAACAAAATTCCTAAATATCAATTTTTGTATGTCACATGGTATGTTGAATGCAACTGTTGGTTTAAATTAGATGTTTGCAATGTTCAAGTACAGAGTCTATAGTTTCTTACGAATTAGAAACTTAAATTACCAATACTAACAAGCTATAATGTAAAATAAAAACCCCCTATTTTTTCTATTTACTGAGATATGGCTATATTTATTGAACCAAACACAATGGCCCCACCCATCTCTTTCATTTTTGGAAATACTTGCTTATGTATACTCACTTCCTTTATCATGTGTTTATAACTAATCAAAAGCTCAGAATCCCCCCTCCCCCCATGTTGTTTTCTCACCTTTTTCAATGTTTGTGTTTCACAAATTTAGTAGAAAGGAAGGGATAAGTGAAAATGTTGTTCGAAAAACTATTTTTTTAGACCCAAGCCAGATAAATTACAGTGGAATTCCAAGATATTTATTGAGTAACTTATAATTTTTTGTTATTTCAAAATGCATATATAAAACCTAAAAATTTTGTTTTACATCCTCCACGTGCAAAATATGGCAAGGCTTAGCACCAAGGTACGGCAAGCAAGTACAAACCTCTTTACAATCATAAGTAGTAGAGATCATTGTTTTCTATATTTATTTATTTACTGTTCTATGTTTTAAGAAAAATAACTTAAATTTAAGAACTTATTTGTAAATAGTAATAATATATACACATATATGTAATGTATTATAACCAAAACATTACTGTATTTCACAAAATACTGGTCCACTAAAACAAACCTAAGACAGATCACTTTGTAAGCGGCAGTATTATGCTATTGGATATGATAACGCGAGATGTACATGCACCGTGTTTGCAACTTCTGTAATGTTAGTTGAACACAGCTGAAAGGTCATTAAAATAAAAATAATAAATATAAATATTAATAGATCTAAAATGTTATGAGATTTAAGCTATTTAGAAAAAACACTTGTGGTTTTATGTTACAATTTGAAGTCATTCTACAATGAAAAAACTTTACTTAAATCTTATTTCCTAATTTTTTGTAGTGGTTATGGGGTCAGTCAATTCAAAAAAACTTTTACAGGGATAAAATAAGAGAAAATAACAGATAAAATATAGTTTAAAAAAAACATTTGATATTTATCTGAATTTTATTAGGCTAAAGAGATTTCACAAATGAAATTTGACAATTTTCTGATACATATAAGTATTTTTTACCTTAAAATCACAGTTACTTTGCATGTAGGATAATCATGCATTTTTTCTTTTTAAATGTTGAGCAAATCTTTAAATAAAAAATATTAAAACTTAATTAATATTTTGTGTACAAAAGCCTTATTATGTTTAATGATAATATGCCAGATTTCATGAAGATATGCATACTGTATTAAAAGATACAGTATGAAAACTATAACAAGCACAAAATGGTTATGAGGTCGGTCTCTGAGATCGAGCCCATAATAAAATGTTAAAGAAATGAGAAGTAATCATATACTCACCGAGCCACCCAATGATTTGTATTAATATTAAAAGACTGAATCAATCCATCAAAGGTACAAGTTGTCTCATAGTCCCAGATTTTAACATTGCAGCATCCATCCCACAGGTCAATGCCATTCTTATCCTGTCCATTGTATGTCAGGCCAGTCATAGTACAGCTTCCTTCCTAAAAGAAAAGAATTTAGTTCAGACTTACTGTCAGAAAAACCAAACAGTTGTTGATATCTCCACAAATGATAAAACATAATGAACAGGGTTCTGCATAATTTTTAGCTTTCAGAGGTAAAACATAAAATATAAATTTATTTATTAACAGAAACAAGTCTGATATACAGGTTTAAGGTTATTCATAAATCATCCCAGGGGTTTCCTCTCTTCTAACTCTCCAGAACTAAAAAAACAGATTATAGATCAAATAAAAACTCACGTCATGTGACTGATATGTAATTTGGAACATAAATGAGAAATTAGAGGGAAAGCCCAACAGGTTACACATATGAATTTATTGCCGAGTATCTTCCTATATGAACTGGAGTCCATTAATATTTAAGTAAGATCTCCACTTGAAACAAAGAAAACGTGTTACATGTGAAAATTAACAGGCTTGATCATCTGTGAAGATTGGACCTAAACCTCTCTTATGGAGAAGCATGTATATATATATAATGTATTCGAGAATTGAAATTGTACATGGTTTTATAATGATTAAAACCTATCATGTTCAAGGAGGAGGTTCTAACCAATCTACAAAGGCTTACTTTTAAAGATGGTTCAAATAATTATAATTCCATAACTGTTTTTGTGCTTTATCTATACATACAATTCATTATTTTCATAAAGTAAAAAATACATTTTAACAAACAGCATGGAGATGAAAACACTTACAGAAAGAAGCCAACAAGCTACATATTTGTAGAGGACAATCTTTCCCCAAAGTGTCATTATTAACATCTTCTTCCAAAAAACTTCTTGCTAGACAAACAGAGATCAACTAACTTTTAACACAGCAATTTATCATGAGCTTTTTAACACCATATATCTACTTCTCATTAACTGCTTAACTATGTTCTGTTGATTTAAATAAAATTACAAATGCATTTAAATTTTGATCTGACCACTTGACAAGTTATTCTCAGAATACACACTTGAAACATTCACCTCTAGTATTACCTCCACAGCCACAGAAGGACATTACTAAATTAATCTTTACACAAGATCACATTCAATAGTGTTCTCCACAGGCAGAAACAGGTTACACCTAACCTTAAGAATAACAAATGAACAGACGTAAACTTTAAGCAAGATCAACTTAACAAATTTCTTGACCATGTTTTATGTATAAACCTGCACATATTCAGGACAAAGAATAATAATACAGAAAGGATGAAACCTATGGTATATTTCTATACCACAAATCCACAGGCCTTATAGGAAGAAAATATATTATAAAAAGGAAAAATAACAATGCATATTTAAAAAACAAATATGAAACTTAAAAAAAGTGAAAGTATATTAATTCTTGATTTAAGAGACGGCATGAAAATATTCTCTATTTTGATAATGATGTTCAGTGCAATGTAATAATGTTTAATAAGGAAAATTAACAATAACATAAAAAATAAAAACTGTACTTGCCTACCCTAATTTTTCCTGACATTTTTACCATAAACATATAGGTATTATTATTTTTTGCCTAATGTGTAATAAGATTAGAAAATTGAAGATGTGTGAATTAGCCTTTTGTCAATTCAAATATTGTTGGCTTACTTTGCACTAGGGTATTGTTAAGTATCAAATAACTAATTTTAGACCCATGATAATATTTTCCTCCTTTAGCTTTATCAAGTGAAAGTGGCATGTACTATTACGTTTACTGTCCCGTTATACAGTGACGACTCGCCTAAAGCATCCATGTGTTTGATAGCCCACATGTAGTTGTGTACATTCTGTTCATCACCATGCATTTAAACAGTTCCAAATAACAGTGGTCATACAAAATCATAAACTCAGTCCCAAGTATATAACTGCTAATCTGCACCTACTACTGAACCAGTAGCCTATCATTTCAACTCCCAGTCATATCCTGAATGTTTCAAATTTGTAGTCTTAGCTATTCCCCCAACAAAGAAAGAAAATGAGAATTTTACAAAATAAAATGTTTGAACTTGGAATCATGATGCTAACAGCAGGCATCAATCAGGGTTTTACCTTTCATGTACACATGTACTAGATAAAAGTTATATTTTAACAGCTCAAGTTTTTACAGTAAACAACTATCTAATTTGTTTCTGTGGAACTGTCTCCTTTCTGTAAAAATATACACACTTGTTTTGTATGTCTAAGCACACACACACATGCCTGTAACAATGTAAAATGTTCTATTTTAACATTGCATAATGTTTTAAATATTTTACTTTTATATTTTATCGTATACACATTATTTATGCGTAAACATACGTATATATATTATATTTTACCGTAAATTTTTTTGCCTATTTTCTCATTTAGGAAACATTGTTGTCATGTGGGTTTTCATTACATGTATAATTGTCACATGAACCTTCACTACATATATTAGTCTAAAAAATGGAACATAAACATTATTCTGTATGCTGATCAGCAACTTTTACCTGAGGATGTGCACTTGACCCAAAAGTTGTAGGTCAACCAATAAAATAATATAATATTTTATACTTTACTTTCTCTTTGTTCTTTTTCTCTCTCTAATAATCTCATTACCCACCATTTTAATTAGTATTCTTCTGGTTTATAATCAAATGTCACAAAGTACAACATTATTTAAACCACATAATAATGCTCTTCTTTTTATATTGGGTTAAAAAAATTTATTGCCATGAAAAAAAACATGACTTGGCTGTAGGTCTACATAAGGTGTCAGTTAATTGAATACATCTTTTGCTGTTGGAAAGAAAATTGGTTTTCCATACATACACACACACACATACATACATATAAAACATATAAAACAACAAATTTAACCAAAATAAAGATGTCCATAAAAAGAAAATATATCAGAACTCACTAGGTGAAATTACTAATTTGAAACATTTACAAACATAAAGAATATATTGGAAGAAATGTTTTATAATTAATTTTAATGACTCTGATAACCAAAATTGAAATAGATATCCATGTTTTATTTTTTTACTTCAATGATAACTGTCACATACACAATTTTTCTCTTTCTCTTTTTTTCACTTTAATGATGACCTGTGTGTACAGGGGAAAACATACTATGGTTTGAGAAATCCTGTACTAATTGTTGAATTAAAGATAATCAATTAATGAGCTCATTGATTAAGTGATTAGCAAATATCACTAATCTCTCAGCTCTATTCCTGGAATGAAGTTTGTTCACGCATACCTCAAATGAAATAGTAAGAATATATTGTTCTGGAATGAATAACGTCCCTATCTGAAAAACTCCAAGTATAATTAATCCAAGAGCCAGACGAGACAAAGCAGGTAAAATACTGCAAAAAAGAAAATATTTTTAATGCTTCCAGTTCAAGCTATAAGTCATTCAAACAAAAATACAAGAATCTTTCAAGTTTATGACTAATAATCTAAATTTCTAAATTATACCTATTATAAAAATACTATCAAAACCAATTTTATAAGCAAGAGGTTTTCACTATCAGAAAGAAAAGGGGTGATGAACATTACAATTATGTTCTGAAATAATTGAAATATACTAAAAACTAGTCCAAAAATTGAGAATAGTTTGATCAGTAAAATCTATTTTAAGTCATTGTTCAAACACATCTTAAATAAAATATTTAAATCACCATTAGTATATTAATAAGATAAATAATCTATTCTAATCTTGTGTTTATGTATACTTTTTCACATTTAGAGCACTTCCAGCAACATATCAAAAAATTACTCTTCAAAATGATTGGACAGGTGTAATTAACAAAATATATTGAAACTACTGAAAAGTTTTTAGAATGTAAGAGGTACATCTTTTATTTTCTGAAATGAAACCTGGGTTAATAATACAAATTTAAATTATGCTGCAAATTGCTACTGAATGTAGCAGTTGTTTCCACTTTTAAACATTTCTCTCATTTATAAACACAAATATTATAAAAACAAGCATACATGCTTACCAAGCTGGCTTTTGTCCCTTCTTGTCTACAAACACACCACCAACAAAATCCATGTATCTTCTCATAGAAAACTAAAACCAGTAGAATTTTGTTTAAAAGAAACCTTTTAATAATACCTTTTTCATTCTCACAAGTTGAACAGTGTTTTACAAACAATCAACCCCTGTGTATTTTTCTGATTTTTTTATTCCCTAGCTTGAAAACACATATTTTATCACTGAAATTAAAGGGAAAAAATCAATAAAAAATCTAGATATAGAGAGGTTCAACAAATTGGATTTATTTAAAATAGATTAATAATTATATTATGTAACTATCATGCCAACCTATGTTTGTTTGGTTGTGCTTAGACTAGAAATTATATATCTTTTACAATAACAAGACATTTAATATTAAGTCATATAACTTTAAATCCAGTAAACTCAAACTAACATCTTTACTTTTTAACACCTAAAAGGTAGAAAAATTAGTACTGATATTTAATATATTTTTTAACAAAATCAAAATTCCAAATATTCTTTTTTGATGAACTTCTGCCTTTAACTTACTGGTGTAAAAGACATTAGTTCTACTGTTGATAATAGATATAACTAGCAATAACTAAAAAAAGCACTAGATGCAAAAAACAAATCATAAATGTAGCCTATGAATATCTTAACCCTTTTGCGACAGGTCACATGTCAAAGACCATGTCATTGCGTTTGTTGACTTGCATTCAATATTTTATTGAACTATTATTTCATGAACTTATGTCAATAAGTTTGGTATCAAACTGTGGACTATAATTCATATTTTAGTCTTATAAATTATTCAATTTCTTAATTTCAAAGTAAATATTAAAAAACACAGCTAAACATCAATTTTTGTGTGTCATGTGATATTTTAAATGCAGCACTGGTTCAAATTAGATGTTTGTGATGTCAAAATACAAAATCTACAGTTGCGTACGAATTAGGAACTCAAACTACTGATATGGACAAGCTAGAATATGAAATAAGAACCTCTTATCTTTTCTATTTGCTAAGATATTGCTCATGTACTGAATGAAGCACAGTGACCACCCGCTCACCTCTTTCTATGTTTGGAAACAGTACCTTATATACACTTACTTGTATATACGACATGAATAACCAATCAAAAGATCAGAATGTCCCCCTAGTAGTTTTCTCAGTCATTTCGATGTGTTAATGTGTTAGTTTCATTCTTTTCAAACAAAATTTCAAACTATAAGGTAAGGCTTTAGTGAGCTTGAAATTTCATATTTTTTTAGACCCAAATACAGCTTCATTACTACGCTTGATAAATTATAGTGGAATTCTATGGTACTGATATAATAATTTATGATTTTTATGGTTATTTAAAATGTATATATAAAACCTAAAAAAATTTTCTTTTCACATCATCCATGTGGGAAATTTCATAAGGCATAGCAACCTACAACAAGAGCCAAATGAGTACAAAGGTCATAACTAGAAGAGATAATTGTTTGCTTTACTTCTTTATTTACCATTCTTTGTTTTTAAGAA